CAGAAAACGACAACTAGTGGAGATGAATGCTCCCATGCCTCCCCACTTGGGCTACTAGCTAACTCAACAGCAGGTACACTGAGCCAAGACTAGGTGGTGGAGCTTCAGAAAGTACGCAACGTGAGAATGTGCCTGGCCGGAGGCTAAGTCGCAGCCTTAGAAGCGAGTTGAAGATCAAAGGCTAATCATCACGGATTCAGCCACTGCTGTAGCACTCCAATGACGAATCAAATGGGATACCGCAAGTCTTCTTCACCGCATTGCGATAAACTCCAGAGCCCCTACAGTGTGCGCCTGAAACGACAAGATGCAGCAGCCCATGAAACGGCCTACAGACTACTCGAAGCTGAAATGAAGTCCAAAGGCGGATCTAACTTTTCTAGGGTTGTAAACTGCGAGTTGATTCGCAACTTGTTCGATGAATGGTAACTCTCAGATTCATCCCATTATGATAACTCCAGCCGTGCTCGCTTTCATCATCTTTCCGGCCGTCGCCACCGACTATTGCGTCGACTTCTGCCTTACCACTGAAAGCTGTGAAGATTCCTATTGTAAAGAAAATGGCTTGTGCTTCAGTCTCTATCACAAGAATGCTGGTACTTGCTTCCAACCCGGCGGCTTAGACAGTGACTGCGATGATTCCACACTGCTACCCGTGGCGTGTGATGAGATGCCCTTCAGTAACGCGACCAGAGAGTGCAGTGAAGCGTGCAACACTATAGCAAGCTGCCGTGAATCGCTCTCTGGATCGTATTGCAAGTCATGGATCGATCCTACGGTTTGCTTCGGTATTCTTGTCAAGGCTGATGGTGATCTATGCTATGAAGGGGTAGATGAGGGTTGTGATGGTACTCCTTATCCCTGCAAAGAAGTTGTGGCCACTGAGACTCCCATTGCACCCTCTACCGAGGCTCCCACGGGACCCTCTACCGAGGCTGCCACTGAAGTCCCTATCGAGGACCCCACCGAGGCTCCCAGTGAGGCCTCTACCGAGGCTCCCACTGAAGTCCCTATCGAGGACCCCACTGAGGCTCCCACTGGGGCTCCCACTGAGGTTCCCACTGAAGTCCCTATCGAGGACCTCACCGAGGCTCCCAGTGAGGCCTCTACTGAGGCTCCCACTGAAGTCCCTGTCGAGGACCCCACTGAGGCTCCCACTGGGGCTCCCACTGAGGTTCCCACTGAAGTCCCTATCGAGGACCTCACCGAGGCTCCCAGTGAGGCCTCTACTGAGGCTCCCACTGAAGTCCCTGTCGAGGACCCCACTGAGGCTCCCACTGGGGCTCCCACCGAGGTTCCCACTGGAGTCCCTACCGAGGTTCCCACTGAGGCTCCTACCGAAGATCCTACTGAAGCCCCAGC